CATTAATGGATTGGGAAAATATGGCACATACACACAATGGTAGACTACTCAGCCATAAATAACAATGAAATCTTCTCATTGAACACAAAGTCAATGAACCAAGATGACATAATGTTAAGGAAAATAAGCCAGTCCACGCACTATGAAAAGTGAAGGACATCAAAATATAAAAAGGAAGTACTGATAGATACCAGAAAGTACATGGGAGGGAGGGGATATTAATGGACAGAAAAATGCAAGTAGATACGAAGAGGGTATTAAACAGTGTGCCATAGCCGAGTAAATGTGTGGACAATTCAATACACACTGCCAAAAAAAAAAAAAAGAAGAGAGAAAGGAAGGAAGGAAGGAAGGAAGGAAGGAAGGAAGGAAGGAAGGAAGGAAGGAAGAAGGAAAGAGAGAAGAAAGAGAAGGAAGAAAGAAAGCCTAGTAGAAAGGACTATTATCAAATAGATAAAAATAGTGCAATGTTCAATGTTGAAAAAGATGAATATGTGATTATCATTAATTTGATCATTACACAGTGAATGCATGCTTGAAAAAGAACACCTTGGGGGCTGGCAGGTTGCTTGGTTGTTGAAACTCTGGACTCTCACATGGATGACTGCAGTTTGAGTCCTGGACCCAGAGACTTACTTTCTCACCTCCTGTCCCCCGTGTCTCTCTCTCTCTGATCAAGTTAAAAAATAATAACAGTAGATACAATTAAATTTTAAAAATTAAAAAAGATTTTTGTACCCCACACAGATGTACATTGATTATATAAAGCCCAGAAGTCCCAATAAGGAATAAGAAAACTATAATAAAAATGCACATTGGTCAATGCTTGTGGTTCAATTAAGTACTGTACATGAATGAAACCATTTAATCACAAAAAATTCTATAGAGGAGGCACTATTGTGATCTTCAGTGTCCAGCAGGGGCTTTGAAGTTAGAAAATATAAAATTCAAATTTGGGTTTTCAATTTTGGTGTGACCATGGCTATTCAAATTCTTAGCATTTGTTTTTTCATCTGCTGAACTGGAGATAGTAATACCTATATAAAAGCTAGTAGAGAGGGCTAGTAAATGGTGTGGTGGTTATGTAGTTGGACTTCAATAGAGTCTACTGCAGTTTGAGTCCCAGACCCTGTGGCTTCAGAATCATACCAGGTGCGTGTGCATGCATGCCCAAGATCCCAGGAGGAGAAGGGATTGTGGTATGAGCATCCCCCACCACCCCCCGCCGGGGGTGATTTCTCACTTTCCCTCTCACTGTCTCTCTGTCTCTGTACTTCTTTCCAGCAAGTGCACATGCATGAAGACAAACACCTCTTAAAAAAAAAAAATAATAGCTAGTAGAGTGAGCCAGTAGCATAGTGGTTGAGATGGCAGAAATTGGCCAACTGCGCAGTTCCAGTTTCAGTCCTGGTGGCTTTAGGTGGATGCTCAAGTATGCATGTGTGCACACCCAGGGTCCCTAGAGGAATATGGAGGAAAAGAGACTGTGGAGTGGACATCCACTGGGGGTGTTCTTTCTCACTATCACTCTCTCTCTTTCTCTCTCCAGTGAGTGCAAGCACCTTATAGCAAACTAAAAACAAAAATAAGTAAATAAATAATAAGAGAGCTAAATACTACTTACATGTCTACCATAAGTTAAGGCCTCAATAGATATTTTCTTACTTAATAAGTTTTCAGTATTTAATGTTTGAGAGAATTGCTAAATTGAAGAATAAAATTAAGAATTTTGGTCATTTTACATTCCTCACTAATAGGAACTTGCTTCTTTGAGAAAGTTATTTCATGGCTTAGTTTTAATTTTATTATTTGCAAAACAGGTATATTTCTTTTGATGATGCAGTGCAAAAATAAGAGTTTCTGTAACACCTATATATTTTTGTAAAAATATTTCTACAGAAAATTTGAGAATTGGCATCTCTCTCTCTCTCTCTGTCTCTCTCTATATACACACACACATACACACATACACACACACACACACATACACACACACACTGTCATATGAAAAGTCATGACATTTTTTTCTATGCAAAATGCATCATGAGGGGTCAGCAAGTGGTGTGGTGGTTAAGGGCACTGACTTCTACATGGCCAACTGAGGTCCGAGTCCTGGACCTAGTGGCTTGCTTTCTCACTTTCCTTCTCTCTCTCTCCCTTGCTCTGTCCCTCTGTGGTCAAATTCAAAAGAGAGAGAGAGGGAAGGAAGGAATGTAGGAAGGAAGGAAGGAAGGAAGGAAGGAAGGAAGGAAGGAAGGAAGGAAGGAAGGAAGGAAGGAAGGAAGGA